AATAACTTTTCCTACTTAGTTATCGAACAGTTTGCAACATGTGGACAGTGTACTGGAAATTTTATGCAATATTTTATTCAATAAATAGAGACAAAACATGTTAAGCAAGCACGTTTTATAGAAACACACACACAATATTTACCAACGAATTGCTCTACATCAAATATCGCGAAATGAATCACAACTAGCGTATTGAATTGCAATTTATGATTATATAATATTATATGCTTAGTCATTACGGTATTTTTGTTATTGTCCTACTGAAAAACCTAATATACGTGAGAAATATGTGTCCAAATAAACTCACATTATCAAATAAAATCATGTAAGAGCGTACAAGAATCGTATAAGAACACATAAGAACGAGACTAGATTATACTAGAAGTAATAACAAATTTCACACCAGCTTCATATAAATAAAAGAATCATATATTCGCTTATATGTTCTTATCACGTTATTGCATGCTCTTATATGATCTTATTTATCCCGTGCGTTTATTGGAAAATAAACTCATTAGACATGTAAGATTTTCCCGTAAGGTAAGGCAGTGCAACAGTTGCTCAGAATAGACTGAAATGTCTACACTATCGACGGTTAGCAAAAATGAAGATCTGTGCCAGCGGGTTTAGGACTCCACACCATCGCGTGGCAGGCGAGGGCGCTGCCTACTTATTCACGCACACGGCGCTATGCTGAGTCATCGGGCTCAGTTAATTCTACGAAGGACGCAAACAGTCCATGGAAGCCAATGAGCTATTTTGTCTGGTATCTACAAATCAGAAAATAATGTTTTCTTTTTTTTGTTCTTGACGCCATGACGTCTTGTGGCTGTTTATTCCAGACGGTACGTACAGTGTAAACGAAAATGCTCTCGTATAGGAGTAAATCGCTTACTTTCTAGCAAAATCTCATGTTGGAGCTTTCTATACTCCGCCAATAAAGGCAGTTTAGTTTACTCCCACGCAGCCATAGTTTTTAGAGAGTGCAAGCGAGTAACCTCAAACTCCATTCAATACTGAAGTTTTTGCATGGATCAATGGGAATATTTCATCACTTCCATCTAGAAGTTTTTGCGTGAAACCATAGTAGTATTCTTTCGCATCCATCTGGCATTTTTACGTCGACCCGCGGGAGTATTCTTACACATTCGTCTGGGTGTTTCTATGGCGATTTCCTTGTATAATTATCTTCCTACTATTAAGGGTTTTTTCAGTTAGGAAGCGTGAGAGAAAAGGCGTGAGCAAGTAGAATCATACACAAAATTAATTGTTTGCACACATCATGCACGCACAATTTAACACTATCAATGCTAAAGGAACTCCACCTAAGGGACGGACAGCAAACAAAGAATTTGGAACTTGCGTGAAATTTAGTTTTCAGGCTGGGGCGCTTTGAGTGCCCGGTGGAATAGCACATTTAAACAAAGTATGCCAACATATCAAAGCTTTTCAGTTCACAACTGCTTTCACAGCCCATCTTAACCCTTTGCAAAGATAACAGCACCTAGCCATGCAAGCACTACGCGTAGGCGTGACAACACACAATGAAACATTTTTTTTTATGAATAGCATCCAGTATTGGTAAAGGAAGATTCCAGGGATTGATCTACGGCGCACCATATAATTCTGAAAATGTGTCTTCTGCCAGGCGTATAAAGGGACCACTGGGGTGCCACAATTTGTATGTTTTGTTTGAGTTTCGGCGACGGTTGACTTCCTGTGATCCCCTTAGGGCCGATCAGGTACCAAAGCTGAGGGCGGGACCAGGTGTCTCTCAGGCCACTAGTTACCGTTATGGATTTATGAAACGTTTGATTCACCTTGGCCCCACGTTAAGAAGAACAGCGACGTGAAAACGCCATTTTCATGTGAAAGAAAACGAAGTTTTTTTTTTTTTTTGAAGGGGGGGGGGGGGGGCTGGAACCAGAGAGTTGAGACGACGCAGCCTGTCTTTTTGCTATGTTCTTAAGTCTTCGGAATTATAGTAATTATAACAATGGGCTGACGGGATCAAAAGATAACGGGATATAAGTGTAAGTTCTACTGATGCCAAATTCTTAGGGTGGATTTTAGCTTCCACGGGATTCAGTGGAGAGAGGACTTCACCACAGTCTAATTAATGAAACTATGGTACGTCACATCTTAAAGCCCCCATGATGTGGCAGAAAACATAGTCAAGGTCTGAAATATGACCATCTGAGTTTTTTTTTTTTTTTAACATGGTTCCTAAGCGAGACACAAGAATTATAATAATCCGCATACGCATAGTAAATACACGCTCGTTTAGAATCTACAGGCAGCCTCGGGCTAGAAGGGCAGGTGGGGACGTCTCTGAAATACCTAGACACCGCTGGCAGCACAAAGAGATTCGTATTGGTGCTGCAAAAAAGGCAAAACATTTTTCTAGACATATTAGCACATCTTGAGCAAAACAGTGAATTAGGATAATCCGCATTCCCAGGTATCGAGTAAATGCACACTCCTTTACCATTTCCGGGCAGTCTCGTGCGGTAAAGCTTTTGACCTCATATTACCTGCGACTAGCTGCGTTATACATTAATCATAAGTTGTTTAGTTGCAGTGAAGGAGTCATTTATAAATTTGAAGAATTTTGAGTGATGTCCTGTTTACTGTGGTTTATTGAAGTTATATACTTCTTAGTTTGGGTGTTTAGTAATAATTACATTTCCTCCTAACCTTCTTCAGCTGATAAACGAAGAACGAACAGCGGTTCTGCGTTGATGATTGATAGTTGTTCTGTATTGCGAATGTTCGGCATTCTGCACAACTCAAACATCCAGTTCATTTCTTTTTTTTTCTCTTTTACTCCTAGTTCCTTTGGTCTCATCCACATCCTGTACAGTGTACAGCGTGATTTAGCTTCACTTCTGGCTGCTATAGATGCCCATTCGGCGGCACAGTGTGCGAAAGAAAAAGCGAAGATCTTTATCCAAGGGGCACAATGCTCACTAAAAAAAAAAACTTTTTTGTCTTCTGTTCTTCGAATATTGTAGGGGGTTCTACGATCGCTTTACTCAGTCCAATTTTGTTTAGTCAAATGAATAAATGACTTGGACTTCCTCCGCCGTCCCGGTGAGGTACTTTGCTCGAGACACTTAGCCTTTAGTTCTTAAGACACGTCGTTAAGATTGCGAATAGAGCAAGTTTTACATGCTACCATTTTACTGCTCAAATCGCGGTCACTAATGGCATAGTTACGAAGCTCTGATTTCACATGCGCATTTTCTGCCGCGGCTATGCTCCAGGTTTCTTGTAGCAAGCGGACACGTCCTGTGGATTTCTGTGGATTGAAGCAACAAACTCACTACTTTAATTGTCGTTTTCATTTTTCACTTGTTTCGTTAACACTAAACAGGGATATCAAACAATAAAATAGTTTTATTACTGCACCTTAGCTTCATTCTATTTTTAAAGCGCGTTGCCTTTAACGTAGCTGAGTAATGTCCATAGTAATTCAAATACATAGACGTTGTGACCCAGAAGGGAAGGTGACAGGGGAAGTTGACCTTAAAACGATTCTTCACACAACCCAGAAAGACAAGCTAAATCCTGAAAGGCTGGACACCACTGAACCAGAAAATAGGCAGAACAAAAAGGGACCGACAGGAGAAAACAGATCGACAATTTACTTTCTCTGCAAGTCGTCTGTTTGTGACATTTTCTTGTACATTCTGTGGGATAAAAAGAGTTTAAAAGGAAATATAAAAAGGTAATTGGTTTACCTTCTATGATAGCCAAGCAAATACAGTCATCGAGAACATTTTCCTTTGTAAAGAACTACAGCAATTTTACTTTCTGTGAGTGTGTACCATGTGATTGTTTTCTTTCTTTTTTTTTCTCTCTTTCTCTATTGGTTCTGCAGTCTGAGGCCGGGAGGGCGGTAGAGGAAAAGGCATTCTTGCTGAAGGAATCCTCTCTGCCCATTACTGTTCAACAGCACGACATTAAACACAACCAGAGGAATATTTATAGAAGAAAAGAAATGCATTGAATATATAAACAATCAACACGACAAGTCGTATATACACACCTCTATTATTATCATACAAAATGTGCAAACAAATCTCTAGGAGCGCATAGTAACTAACAAAAGGTGACTACAAAAACGCGTATTAAAATGCCATATAAATTTCGCAACAAATAAAAATATTTGGAGCTTAACAGCTTGCTTTAATATAGGTTGGTTTTTATGAGTCACCGAAACAACACCGGAGAACTTCTTTGGGTCACGAAATGAGAACGGATTCCAAACGCGCTGCTGGGGAACACCCCATTACAACCAATATGGGCGAAACTCACTCATCAGAACCCTCGTCACCCTCACTCACGTTTACCTCCAAAATAATCAGCCTAGTGACTGGGCTCATAAAACCCAAAATTCACACATGAGCGAATAGGTCATGAGGTCGCCAGCGATATGTTTGTCAATGTGAGTGCGTAAGAGGTGTTGGTACGTTCGCGTTATGCGTTCAGTGAGGTGCGGAGTGTTACTGATGGGCAAGAGTTCGTCAGGGCCATGAGTTTCTTAGGGACGTGGGTTCAAAGGAGGTGCTCGCGTTAGTGTTGAAGGCCGGGTTTGCTTGAGTGGCATGAACTTAATTTATGTGACCTGAGTTCGAGTGAAGGCCTTGGGGCGCGTGACAGGTTTCATTTAAACGACAATTTGAGAGTTGATTCACGTGAGCTCTCGCTACATCTGGCAGGAATTGGAATACACGATCGCTTCGCAACGGTTTCTTCAATTGAACGCTTCGCGCGGATGTACCATCTGTTTGCGGGTGAGGAGGAAGGAAATGGTGTGTGGACTGGCTTGCCACATTATGTTTCTATAATTTATCCATAGCGCAATATGAAATATTTTAGGGCTATTTACGAGAGCGTTAGAAATGGAGCTGTCTAAATTGTATAGTTCCAACAGACACGACCTATCTACGGATTCCATGTGCCACAAAGCACATCGCAATGCAGATGAGCACTTGCAAGGTCACACTGTCTTTATTCTTGTATTTTGCATTAAAGACCTCTTTTGCTAACTTCTTTTTTGTTTTAAACTTGCTCCCCAAATCATAAATTTACCTAAAAGTGAGAGCCACGCGTCTGTGAGTTCTGTGGGGACCACACCGAAGATGTAGCGAAACAGACATTCCATTTGGTTTCCAGCCGTGTAGATGGCCTTAGGATCAGTCTCTCTCACAGCCAGCACCATCTCGTGGACCACTTCGTTCGGATCGTCCCTCGCGATGCCATTGAGAAAGCCAGAGACGAGACACGTGAACGTTGTCAGGTTTCGCTGGGTGATGCTTCGCTGTACATCGGCGGGAAGGTTCTTCATGTCGGCTTTGAGGATGCATTCAAGTTCATGCGTGTCAAGCATCTTCGTTCTGGAGAAACAAAGAACACATGTATTTACTGTGTTGCATATGTTTACTTATAAAGCGTACAGAAAAATTTAATTAGCTCGACTAGGAGTGAAGAATTATTTCTTTGCCAAGGGAGTCAAATGTACTGGGAAGCATGTTTGAACGCTAAATAAAACAGCGCGTGTGAACTCCTCTACTCGGAAATGCCAAAGATAGTGATCCCTGGCTGTATCACGAGCAAGTGATAGAAGCAAAGAATGCTCTACGAGAAAATACGTTGTTTTTTTTTGTTTTTTTTTTCGCTGCGAGGTTAATATGTAGTATGTTTCACATGGTGTCTTGGCGAAGCCGGTGCTACAAGTACGACAATATTTCTGTGGCATCACCTTAAAGAGAAGAAGAGGTTGTGCGCAGCTTTAGTCGGAGTTTATGCACGCGCCCCAGCAGATTTGACTGCATAGCCACAAAAAAGAATCTGCGATCATCTGGAATAACCAGCACCGAAAAGCTTCAAGTAGGTTCAGCTTGAGGGCACTGATGCTTTTAGCAGGCTTTGAATTTCTCGTGCTTCCTTAAAGAGTACCCGGAGATTGCAAGCCTGCCACAGCTACATTTGCGTGCTTGCTGCATGAACGTGCGTGAGGCTTCATACAGTCCGACATTACGGTTTGTCGCCGTAGTAGAAATGGTGCGTAATTTCATGGATGCGATTGCAGGCAGGAAAGCTCAGAGATTGCTCTGTAACTTCTGCGACGCTCTCAGCTACTTGCCTCAGTAGGGGAAATGCTGTGGGCGCCCCTTCTCTCGCGCACATTGACAAGTAACGAAAGCTTTGCTCGCGCACATTTTACTTCTGACAAAAGTCACTTTTCTGACATGCCACTAAACATTTTCCCCACGCATAGCAAAATTGTACTGCCATTCCTTGCCCAGCAGTCTTAGCCTTAAAAAATATTGTATACACTCATTATAAATCAAATCTATATTTTAAAGTTTTCTTTCGACTTCTTATCGAAACACGTCGTGTCGCAATTCCCAATACGCCTCGCAAGTGGGCTCATTTTCGTCTTCTGCGCATGAGAAAGGAGGTGCGAAGGCGGGAGAGGAGGTTGGTGACGATTCCGACTAAGCTCCGCCCTCGCACATGTCGGGGGAGGCCGGGGGTTAAACAAACATCGGCGTCGGCCATGGCGACCGTGTTGTAGCGGCGACCGCGAGTCTTTTATTTATTGCAGCCCGGTTAAAATTTTCCGAGTCCACAAGATCGAGCAGCTTCGTGCCCCTTACGATTCCTCCGTCGTCTGCTAGAGGCATTTCGAAGATTCCAAGATGAAGACGACGAAGAGCATCAAAAGAAGGCGCTTGCCTAGCCTCGCGATTGAAACGCCGGTTGCGCCGGTCACTACGAGACCGCCGCCCGATTGTACCGGTAAATTGCCTTTTATCTTGTTCTTCCTTTACGAACACAACGGATTTTGCCTTCTAGCAGGTCTTTATAAATCTTGTGTGGCGGAGTCGATAGGCGCTATTAATCGAAAAACGGCCGAGAATGTAGCGTTTTCGCGATCCTCCGAAGCCTATCTTCGCAAGTGATATTTAGGAATAGTACTCGTCATTTCGACTCGAAGCTGCACGGAGGCCGTATAAGCTATGTTCCGTTTCATTTGAAATGCGGTCGAAGTTAAATCTACATGGGCGAATCCCGAGCTTTGATCATAGCTGCCATGCATGTGCGATCTTGCAGTGCAAGCGCTGATCAGGTTCTCGCGTTTGTAATTTTCGCTTCATTCGCACTTAGGTGAGACGCAGTATAGTCATACATCGTATTTGGTATAGTAGTTGCAGTCTACGGTTGTAATCATGGCACTGTAGAAAAGCACACAGCTCAAAACTTACCGCAAAAACGCGATCGTTTTTTTTTTCTTTCGGGAATGAAATATGAATGGCTGTTACGTGTAATACAGTGAACCAACTCGGACAGTACAAATTTGCCGTTTCACATTAGCCAGTATGAGTGAATTGCCGACGAAGTACCGATGCCGCCTTTCTGCGAAATGTGTTGCGCAGTGTATCTTGGAACCACATCGACGCTGTCAGTGTCTGACGTGTTTTTGCGTGTCGCTTGTCTCTTTTTTCGTTCCCATACCAAGATAAAAATTCGGAGATCGCGCACTATCCAAGCCTAGCTAACGAGCGCCCCATGGAATTGACACGGGAGTAAACAATGACTAATATGTACATATTTTTGTTCGCTCAGCAGACTGGGTCAAGCAAAAGCCAGTGTATAAGTGACAAACTTTCTAACATCATTTGTCATTTCTAGGTCCCAGATGGGCTGTTGACATCCAGAAACGCACCAACAGATGGTGGTCATACAGCGATTGTGAAGACATTCCCATTTGGATCCACATTCCTAGTCCACTCATTGATAATCTTTCCTTGTTTCATCAATGCCCAAGCATGCCAGGTGCCGAGTGACTACTCGCATCTGTTAGTGATGGTGGCATGCGAGGCTTCAGTATTGTCGCTGCAGATAGGGCTCACCCTCACACCAATGCTGTTTTGGTGTACCTTTCTATGGAATTGTTTGGTTGATTCCAATTTCCTAGAAACGCCAATATTCAGTTTGGTGTGCCTTGCGGCTGAAATAGATTCGTCAAGGAGGTCTCGTCTCTTTCATGGGAGTAACACCATGTCAGCTGCTGTGCATGAGCCACTTGGAAACTGTTCGGACTGCTCTAAAGCACTTGTGATTGACCTTACCTGTTGTGTCCATGCTAATGCTGAAATGTAAAGTTCACTGAACCAAGTTTTACTAATGAACAAACGCAATCAGTGGAAAGGTTGAATGGCTTTATTTGTTTTCTCGAAGTATACGCTATTTCATACATAATACATGATGCTGGCAAGGCTACTTTCATTAGCATGCAGGCAACTTAGTCTACATTTTGTTTCACGATAGCTTGGTGAACTGTGGAGGCTACGGCTCCTGCGACCCAGTAAGAATGTCGGAGCGAGGCACATGGACGCATGTCACAGGAGCGTTCGTGTCACCGCGCCAAATGCAAGAACCACCCGCCAGAACCGGCTGTCGTCTTACAACCACATGCTCAATTTGCCCATGAATCTGTGGCGGGTGCTAATGCTAGGGCGATGTTTTGAGCGGAAGTGGTCGATTCACGGCTACAATTGTTTGAACTTCGATCACAAGCCATGTTTCTCTCAAAAAAGTGTTGATCTATATTAAGTGTCGCTAGTAAGTAACAAATGTCTTCGTCTTTCTTCAGTGTCGTGTAGTGTTGCGGTCCAAAGAATCCGACGGCAACACTACTAAAAGAAGAAGAAACAAAGCCTAGAACTATGTTTTGTCGCAGATGGCGCTCTTGCTGTGGCAATAACGAGGACTCGACCGTGGAGTGTTGTCACGTGCCTGGCTCCGATGCTCTTATTGGGTCGCAATGTTTGCCAAGTTACCGAGAAACGGAGTATAGTGTCTCACCTGTACACGCTATAAAACAAATGAGATGCCAGGTGTAGCAACTCACGCAGCTGTAGCCCTTATATTATTCTTTGCTATGCTGTTTGGAAGAATACATAAAAAAATCAGTTTACAAAGCCGAATCTAATTTTTTGCCCTCTTGCATGTTACAAAAATAAAAGCATCACGCCTGAACACCAACATCTGTCTCTAAATTATTCTTTGCTGAAATGAAAAATAAATATACTGTGAATACGAACCAATACAATCTCAAACAGGTTTAAGAATGGATATGATTCAATAAACAATTATTTCAATCTGCAAGCTTGAAATCAAGTATGTGTGTGCATACTTGACCCTAATCTTTCGACTATTCCCCGTTGACACTTGTTCTCGAAGGATAGAGACTTCGTCGATTTAACGGCAGTTCAAGCATTGGTCAGGCGACATGCTCATGTTTATAGTTTCGGCTGTGCTATAGGAATAACAAAGGTGAGTTGTGTATTGCTGAGTCAAAACAGAACTCTCAGGTCTAAAAGGCTTCTTAAAAATGCACTAAATCTGGTTTTGACTTCATAATTATATGACTCGAACATAAACTACTCACTTCAGCAAGTCTAAGAATTCACAAATAATCTGTGAACATGTATTCTGCTTTTATCTTCATTCACTTATGAAACTGATTGCTTATATAAAATATGCAATCAGTCTTGCACACCTCCCCATTGCGAGAAGGGAGAGGGAGATTCGTTGGCTTTTTTTCTCACTGGAAAGCAGAAAAAGAAAAGGAACAGGTTTCAATGTGCACATTACGTTGAAGTGGGACAGTTACGGAAACAAATTCTGCATCTTCAGTATTCATGAAGTAGGCAGATTACTTTCAAGTCGTAAGAGGATAAAGTCAGAAACAACTTCAGCTCGCATTCAATCAAATTTTCCCTTTAGATCCAGGGATGTTTCACCTTCATAACGTCATCAGTACCAATTGGCATCCATTCAGGACTGTAATGGTAGATGTACAAGCTTGACCTCAAGGTCGCAGTGCCCTCCTTTCATCTCCTTGCAGTGCGACCCCTCGTGCACTTGGTCCCAGATGGTGAAGCTGGTGCTGGACAGGATGTCGTCCCCTGTAAAAGAGTCGTCCCAGTAGTCAAACGATCCGGTTACTCCCTTGAGCAGCGTATTTGTCCTCCCATGCCATTAGCAACTGAAAATCAGTGAAACCCTATTTTTTAAGCAGCAGAATGCATAAATGGACATGTCTATTCCATTCCCTTCAAACCGAATACCTGCCAACATCCAAGGGATGCAAATCAAAATAAATAGCATTGTATTATTTGCTCTTTTGAGACTCCTTGAACTTAAACCAACTCAAACACTACCACAATTTTAAAGCTGGGAACTTCGAGGACACCTCTCCATATACTGAGATTACATGCTTGTCCCACTCCTGGCTTGTCCTCAGCAGGGTTGGCCAGCGTGTCCTCATACTCCTGGGTTTTTAGCCTTAGAAGTTAAAGCTTTGGTTTTTGTCATTGCTTGG